TGTGTTATTCACCCAGGTTATGTTCGAGGTTAATTCATGTAAACTTACCCACCACAGTATTATTCGAAGGTAGTTTTGGAGTCACTCCTGCAAGAACACAGACAGAAGTCCATTTTATTCAAAGGAAAGGAAAGCAACAGTAAACATGTGGTGGCACAGTGTAGTCTACACTGCAGTATACTGTAATGCAGTCATTATTTTTAGTCCGAAATGTGTTTCAACAATAGTGACAATTTCTCCAATCATATACACTAAAATTACATAATATTGTGAATATTAACAATAATCTCTTCACCCCCGAAGACAGAAAAGAACATGCATATGAAAGTTAGTTAAAAAATGTTCCAGCACTGACACTGGTCAGCATTCAGTCAACTATACCTGCACGGATCTGACACAACCAGTCATTGTAACTGTCACAGTTCAAATCATTCCAAGAACCTTCGTCATCCCAGTTATGTATCACAAACTCAGCACAAGATTCTGCATTGTTGAAATTGTTTGGTTCTCCTTCCTGCCAGTGCTGGAAATCTAGCTGTTAACAATAAGAAACAACAACATTATGTTGAGTAATTGTAAATATTTTATTAAAATAACATTTAATGATTTAATGACAAAAAAACAAAAGAACAACAAGAACAGAATGCCATTAACTTACTGGGCTTCCATCAGACCAGGCATAACCAGTGCTTGTTTCAGGAATGTGAAGTCCAATCCAGGCTTTTCCACCTCTGCTGTACAAAAAAGGAAACGACACTCTCACTGTCTTCTAAAGTACTAAAACAAACATTTTAGCTACATTAGCAGTTAGCTGATGGTGTCAGTGAAGCAGCTAAAACATGTCCATATGTTTTCACCCTACAGGCAAGATGAGGTACTTCAGGTGATGAAAGTCGAAAATATGGTGCATCTGAATTTGCTACTGCATAGAACACAGGCCAGATAAGTAGGTGTGACATTTACTACTATATGAATGCTTTTTTTCAGTAGGTTAAAACACCAACATGGTGTGTTGTGTGAATGTGAAACATATTTGCCAGAATGCTGAATATTTTTAAACAGGATTATTTTACGTAGACGATCATTGTCTAGAGTTTGATCTTATGTTAGGATAAACTAATGGTTGTATGATTTAGACTGGAAAATAATTGACAGAAGATATTATAAACAGTAGTTGTTATTGTAGACTGAGTCATGCTGTACCTGAACAGTCGTAGCTCAGCAGAACTGTGGATGCTAAGCAGATCTCCTCCAATGGCCCTGCAGTAATCCCTGGCCTCAAACCAAGTCTTTTCTTCTGCGCGAGGACCTGTAAAAAACTTCAAACGCAAGACAACAACTCTGTAAATTTCTCAACCGCAGATAGTTCATGCATTGAAGGTCATTGAATTTAATTTAATTTTGTGAGCACAACACTGAATGGAGTCCTGAGGAATAAGGAGAAATAGAATGCAAAACACAAAGAACAAGTCCCTATCGTAATGAATGAAGAGATTCTTAAAACTGACAGGTTGCTAGTGTATCATAGGACTAACACACAGAGACCCACTTACACTCACATTCATACTTATAGCATATTTTGGCTGACATCGCATTGCTGTAAAGTGCCAGTGCTAAATACTCCACAATAGACAAAGTTTCTTTGAGTTCACTCAAGGCTGACCGAAGGTTGTACCTTAGCGCACATAGCTCTCGTTCCCACTCGAGTCCAACCCTCTGGACATTTAGGAGGAGCTACAGTTGGTGGTGGAGCAGTTGGAACCATCCCCTCTGCCATGTACTTGCAGATATATTTTTCTTTGTTGGTGCAGGGAAGCAGGTCCCAAAGTCCAGCCAAAACCCCAGTTGTCATGGCAACACAGCCCTGCTGGTAACCTTAGGGCATTGAGGAAACCAATAGTCATGTGCAACTTATTGGGCTGCAGTTTATTCCTGATATTTAAGTACAGAAATTCAGATGCATCCATACCTGGCATTTGACTATTCCAGTGAGTGAACCTTACTGTGGGTGAGTTGGTCCACTCAAAAACATCAATATTTTTTTGATTTGAGAGCCCTATCCAGAAGTGTTTCTCTGGTCTCAACCCCACCAAGCTGACAAGGAAGGCATTATCCACCCTGCAAAAATGTATACAATTCATAGATTTCTTGTCATTTTTAATATACCGTGCAGCACATGCATCTGCATGCATGTTTGTGGATTTCCCAAAGAAGTCGTTATGTGATTTATAACAAAAATGAACTGGTTGTTTTCTTACCCATTTGAAACATCAGCTAAGTATGAGTTTGAACTCTTGCAGTCTTCACTAGCTTGACTGAAAGTCTTTGTCTCAGTGCCTACAAAGTAGCAGTAGGAGCCATGTTTTTTCCATCCCTATAAGAGAGTAAACACATCACAACTGAGGAGTACAGTAAAATTTCATTTATCTATTTTTAATCTATTTTTTTAGAATGTACTACTGTTTTTACAAAGTGAAATTTGAACCTTAATCATGCTTTGTTATTACTCACAGCTTTACATCCGATGTCTATATCTGGTTCACTTCCAGTGCTTTCAGTGGAACTTTGCTTCATACAGATAAAGCCATGTTGCTCATCACATGACCGATCTGCCCAGTTCCCGTTCTGCAAGAACAAAAGCATTGTAAACACTTGCAGATTTGTGGGCTGGATTGCTGAATGGATAAAATGCAAATATTTAAAGCACTGTAATTACAGTTACTCCAAGGTGCTTTGGTATATTTCTCAAAATACTAAGCACTCAAAGTGCTTATATGTGCAGTAAAACACTAACACATCCAAAAAGCCTGTAACGTGCCCAAAACCTTCAAATCATGAAATGTTTTAAAGTTTAGATATTTCGTAAGAATGACACATGGCTATAGAAGTAAATTCATTGCCTTCTAATTCTAAAGGAGTCTTGCCCTGTTTTCTCTCACAGTGAATCTATTTTACCAGTCTACCACACCTAAGATACAGATTTCATAACATCCAACTTTGTAAACCAGTGTGGAAACTATGAAGAAAAATGTCGGAAGAAAATATTCTGCAGCACACAACTAAGTTAAAACGGTAGAAAAATGTGTAAAATATCAGTATTGTAAAACATGTACTCTAAAAACAGCACAAAAAATACAGTTTAATATTTCTTACAAAACTTTTTCTTGAAGATCGATACATCAAGGGTAGTGGATTATGCTTCCTCCATGCATGATTTGTCTAGCTAAACACATATAGATGAATAAATATGCACAAGGTCTTACCTCTCCCCTGATGAGAACACAGTTATCTCCATCAGTGGAGACTCCTGGTTTTCCATATTCCCAGCTGGTGAAGGACACATGAGAGTGGTCACTCCAATCAAACAGTCCCTCTGTCCTAATGTCATTCAGTCCAATCCAAAGCTCATCAGTGGATGCTACAGAAAAATAATGGACCAAATATCAGCCAGAAGCTCAAATTTCCCCATTACACTGAAAATTACTTGTACAGTTCATAGACTGGTAAAGAGCGAGAGGCATTGTCTGGATTGTACTTTAACAGCTCACACATGCGTGGAAATATTTGACATAGACTCGCAGCAAGCTAGAGCTGAATGAATGACATGATCTCTATTGTCACTCCTAAATGTACAGTCATGCTGCCAGTTATTATGTGTAAAGTGTGCATGTCATTCTCATCTGTTAAGGCTTTCTTAATAAGTAGTCTTTTATACAAAATTCAGTATTTTTTTATTATTTGCCAGAGTAAAAACAATTATGATATAGAGATGAATACAGCACTATCTCAGAGATATTACGAAGTGAAACTGTTATTCATATATTATTGAGTGCTTACTCGCTTTGTACTCACTGGCTGTTTATGTATTAGTAAACATTTTGGTTTTAATTAAAGACAAACTTGAATAAACTCAGTAGGTGTAAATAGAAACTGGATTAGGTGGAATACACATTTTGATTAGGTTTAGGTGAGATAGAAAGTTTAGTTAGAGTTAAAAAAAAAAAAAAACACGATTTAAATTAAATGCAAATAAAGATGTTGTGACCTAAGCCTGTGTACTTTTTTTAAACCACAAAATATCCCTAAAGTTTACCATATCCTGCCACAACAATAAAGAGTTTAATGATGCTATTAGTGAATTACAAACTGGAAACTGATATCTTCAATCTCAGCACATGTGCACCTTGTCAAATGTATGAAATATATTTGCTGTTGGGAATCTGTTTTGTATTAACATTATTTCATGGAGATATGATTGCCACATACCGTATCCAAGCTGAGAGATCACAAAGCTTTGATCCTCCACATTTCGGATGGTCGCTAAGTCGCCGCCTTCCGCACGACAAGCTTTCTGAGCGCCAGACCATGTTTGAGCATTACGCTGAAGATGAAAACAGTGGCCATTGTAGGGAATCCAAGGTGCTGAGCAAAATCCTTGTTCAACTGATGATGAAAAGAACAAATATATAAGAACTTCACTTCTGATGTCCCCCAGAAACTACTGCAATCTAGAGAAATATTCAAATCGCGGTAAAACAGAATAGAATTTTTTTATATACTTTGTGGAGGTGCTGGTGGGACCCCATCTTTGTAGCAGATGTAGCCCATTTTCTTGGTACAGGATGAACTTTGCCAAGAGTGCTCTCCAGCAGTGTCAAGAATTGCACAGTTGTGTCCTGGATTAGGAAGTGGATTCCCTAAATCAAGATAATAATGATGATGGTTAACACTCACACGTGACCCAATCATGCACAATAAAAATTTTAGGAGTACTTTAAATCTTTGAGTAATTTGTAACAATATTGGTAGTATTTAGCATTTAGAAAAACTAACAAAAGAGGGATAGAAAATGAAAATACTGTATTAGTTCAAAAAGATAAAAATGTGTAATAATTAGCAGAAACTTGGAGACATGAATGAATATTTAGTTGTTGTTGTTTTTTTAGGTTTAGACTGTTTTACTTCTTACAATTATGTACATGAATTCTTGAAAAACCTTTTACCCTAAGAGTCTAGTTGTCACAGGAGTTAGGCTAACAGATTATATTTGCTTAACACTGTAATTTTCTGCAACTTTTCAGTTAATTTCCAGATCGCTCAGATGTTTTGAGGATTATTGCTGAAAGTAACTTCGTCCTTGCAGGGAGGACTTACCAGAATCCCATCGCAGATAACGGAAAGGTTTGCCATCAGTCCACTGCCAACCATGTTCTGGGTCCAAAACTAACCCAATCCAAAGTTTTTTTCTCCCTGCTCCCAATAATGCTGTGTGTTCAAGTGTTTATGAGACAGCGGGACAAAAAAAGAAAAGCACTTGTTTTTCTTTCCTGAATTAAAATATCAGCTTTACAATAGTCAGTTGGTAGGAATAAGACAGATAAATACTAAAATATAGTGCAGGTTCATGCAATATCAAAAGTATTTGAAATCCAAAATCTTGATTATTTCATTTAAAATTCAAAAAGCTGCATCTGTTTGAGTTCTGGCAAATATCCACCAGGTGGCACCTCACCTGAGATCAAAGCTTGCTCACTGGGCTCCACAATACTGACCAAGGAGGCAGCCTGCTGTTTACAGCTGGTATCCGCTTGTCCCCAAGTCAGAGATGACTGTATGTTCAACTGGTAATATGCTCCTGTTATGGGATTTTTTCTCCAGTGATCTGTGGCTGTATTTTGACAGAAAAAAAAATGAATTCAAATAATTCTTACATTTTCACTCCAGTGATGTTGAAATTTGACAAACTCACAAGTGGATGGGCAGTATCCCCACTGTTCACGTTCAACTTTTGTTTCAACTGCACACCATGGTCGCTTTGTTGAGGAGTCAAATGTAGTGCAGTCTCCATACCACCGGTCTTTGTAAAGGAAGGGAAACATGCAGATCTTTCCGAATGCATTTCCCTCAATGGTAAATAACTCTGGAGGTGAAAAGAAAAGGATTCAGGTTGGGTCAAGTGGCTATAGACAAATGCACACTTACACATAAAAGCATATGTTTTATACTATACCTCTGTATGTTCTTGTACAAGCACCGCTTGAGGTCCCTATAATTGTGAACTGGTTATTTGGTCCTGTTGTTTTTGAGAGAGCAATTGTTTCATCAGCTTTCATCTCAATGAATAAATTATTATTTTTGAGGGCGAGCAGAGTTCCATTCCTGCAATCCCACTTTTGCAGGTCGCTCTTTTCATCACAGTCATACAGGCTCACTTCACTCCCTATACTTTTGCCCTGAGCTCCCAGGCATTTTTTAGTTGTGGTAACATAAAGCCGGTCATCAGTCGTCCAGCGTAGGTCAAGGCAGCGGCTATACTTTTTCAGCAAACAAAAACCAGTGGCTTTGTTCATGAGTGAAAATGGGGAATCTGCAAAGGGGAAAGTTTTAAAAAAAAAAAAAAGATCAGCCTATTGCACAAAGTTTATTCCAGTATGGATTCAAACAAGCCTTTAATAAAAGCCGTGTTTGAATCAATAAACATCCTAATATATAAATATATTTCCCAAAAAATTGTGGGGTTTCTCAAGGCTTGGTCATGACAAATCGTTAAATCAAATGTTTGAGCTTATACTGTACCATTTGTTGTTGAGCATTGGCATGTTGTGATGAAGAGGCCAAAGACTGCTAGAGATATTCTTGGGAGCATCATTCCTCCAACCAGTCTCAGAGCAGCAGACAATGTCCATGCATTGCAAGCAGAGGACTTATGTGCCTGAACATGAAAAGGAGGCAACCTTAATATCTCTGACATGACTCTGTTTCCCCCCCCTTCATTGAGAAAGTCTCATGTTTCACATTGGCACATTTCAACATTTTGCTACTGGTACATGGGTGGACAGGAAGGAAGAAAGGGCAACATACACAAAAGCACACAAACACACACTCTTTCTGTTAAACTCCAGACACGGCAAAAAGCTGTCCCATTCACTTCCCCTCCATAGGAAGAAAGAAATGCGTAAGAGAATTTGCTAAACATGTTTCATGAATCAGCATTAGTGACCCAGAGAAACAGTAAATCACAAGCTTTGATGCAGTACATATGGATTTATAGTGTTGCCTTTGACATCTTCCTTATGATTAAGTAGGGGTCAGAATCACAAAGTTCCTCACAGTACTACAGTACCATAATACTGTAACAATGTTATCAGGATAAAGGCATTCTGCAATATTCTACACAGCCCAAGATCGTCTACTATCACACTCAGTGATATATTTGTTACAAATTAAGAATATTGCTCTGAAGAGGCAAAAGCAGGAAATGTGCTTCTATTTATTTGTACACGTATATTAAATTCATAATGCATTTTCTGTGTAGAGTTTGCATGTTCACTGCAAGGCTGCCTGGAGTCTCTCCAGGTTTTCTGGCTTTTAAGCCAACAAGTAACGTACCCAATGGCTGTAGGTGCAAATGTGTGCAAGTGAATGGTTACCCTGTGTCTCACCCAATGAAGCTGAGGTGACTGATGCTACCGATGCTATAATTCATAATGTTATGACAGATCCGGGGGGGAGCAACTGCCAATTTGCTTTACCTCCTGAGCTGCAGTCACGCTAATGAAGAAAACACTGTGTGCATCCTGAGTGTAGTAACATAATGTCCTGCTTTACGGTGTAGGCATTAAGATGTTTGTTTTTTTTTGTTTGGTTTGTTTTGTTTTGTTTTGTTTCCAGTTCTGCCTTAATATCTATCACTGCATTTTGTATTTTCACTTCCCCTTTGGTTATTCTCCTTTTTGTGGTGGCACATTGTGCTGAAGTATGAACCTTTGTTACCACAATGATGTTTTTATGATGCCTGGATGAAGCTGCTACACTAATAAAGCTCGAGCTTTTGTTAAGCAAAAAAGAAAATAATACTTTTTCCAACATATTTAGAAACAAAACTATTATTGTAGGGTCATTCAAAAGAAATACCTTCAAGAATATAAACACAAATACTTTACAACAACATGCAAACTATTGTTTACACAAAAAGCCCAGATTAGACATAAAATATCTAAAATAGAGTGCACGGTTCTGAAAAAAAATCTTTGGAGAAATGAAACTAAGAAAAGAAAAATGCAAAGAAAGAGAAAAACATTAACAATCCGAAAAATTATCCGACAAACATGGTGAAGGCAGTGTTATGGTATCAGCATGTTTGGCTACCAGTGGGACTGGGTAACTGGTGTTTATTGATGATATTAATGCTATTGATGATAGAAGCATCCAGATGAACTCTCTGCTCAGATTTAGCCAAACCCTGGAAAACTGATCAGACAGAGCTTCACAAATGGATAAAGTAAAGCTGTTGGTTATTTAAGATGTTCTTAAATAACCAAGTCAGTCAGCTGATCTAAACTCAACAGAGCATGCTTCTCACAAGCAAGCAGCAACTAATGGTGGCTGCTTTAAAGGCCTGGCAGAGCATTATTAGGGAATAATTACATGTGATGTACAAGGGTAAGAGGTGTGTTATTTCAATTGCTATCCAAGTATAAAAAACAATCCTTATATCCTTATATTAGTTTGTCCAGATTTTCCTGGAGCCGACCCAGTTAGAAGGTCAGATCAGACCCAACAGGCTTGACCATTACAGCTTTTAAACAGGAAGTTTACTTCACAAAAAAAGTGAGAGCTCTCCACTTTTGTATATTTATATCAATTTTAATAGCAACAAGACACATTAGTAAGACCAAAAGAAAAAAAGTTAAATGCTTGACCCTAAACCATGTTCTCAAGCCATTAAATGCTTTTGGAATCTACAAAATATAAGTTAGCCATGCATTACGAGTTATGATTTACAAGCAAATGATAGACATGCAGTATAGTTCATTGAGCACACCCTGGACTTTGGTGTTTGATAAGGTTTCACAATCTCAGCTCAGCTGTGGTAATAAAAGCTGATGTCCAATATTTCAGGTACAAACTGAAATACTGGACTTACACTGTAACCTGGTTATGATATTGAGATGTTTCTCTTTATTTGGACTCCTCACATTTCTCTTGTCATCTTTGTTTAGATGTGAAACAAATATTTGCTCTGCTTTCAGGTATGTTTCTTTAATCTGAAATTGCTTGCACTATATTTTTTGTACATCCTGAGGAAATAAGGGGTATAACAGTAAGGGAGAGCACTCATGACTCGTGTAACCTATGACAAATTGTGCAGTGTTTGCTGTAGTAGCTTTAAAATGTATGAATAAGAGTAATATAAATAAAATGCACCAATAAACATGTCTCCTTGATATCTTCTTGTAATGAAACTGTCTTCACAGTACTGTTAGTCATCATCTCGTCCCGTCCTGATGAGGAATTTAACAGTAATTCTGGTAAACGTGTTCCTGCTGACCTCAACTGTGATTTCAAAGAATTGTGGCAACGGCTCTGATGAGGAATTTTGTGGTATGTGGTCGTTCTACACAAGTTAGCCTGAAGCTTAAATTTATATTTTAGTGTCAGCTATTTAAAATTTCCCAGACATTACTGGAGAAATTGTGATGTCCTTGTCTCATGCACACGGCCAGTTTAACATGTGTTGAGTAACTCGTGCATCTGTTAAGATTTATAACTCTTTGACTACATCATGATCATTATTTTGTACCTGTTGCAGTCTGTAAGAAATGTAAACACAATTAAAGCACAAATAAACAAATATAAGCGATCATGTGTTCTACTTACTGTTCTACTTTGAAGTGACAGTTTTTCTTTTTACATGAGTAAATTTGTTCATTAATTTACAAACACTGGTTGTGAGATGCTATGTAAAAGCTTGACATCAGAACTTTTTCTTTGCACTTTTAGTTTGTAGCTTTCAATGATAAATCCATAATTTGATATATCATCTAAAAGGCTCATGCGACTTTGAGGATCACTCCTGTGGTTGGAAAGATGTTAGTCAGACCTCTTATTCCTGGAGAAGGCAGATGGCAAACATTACCTTAATACCTGGACAGGACCATACCACAGGAAGTTCATGGGGTGATTAGTATAACTTCCTCTCATATTGTTGATGGCACATTTTAAAGTGGATGCACAAACTACTGAGATCCATTTTTCATTTGATTATGAGATTTAGCCTGTTAACACTGGATTTTTTTTTCTGATTGCCACAGGTCATGTAATGCATATAGATGGTAAGGAAGGAGGTGGGATTTTTTCAGATGCTGATTTGGAATATTCTGTTGACCAGGGAGCTGCTCTGGGATGCCAGATTAGGTACTAAAAAGTAATCATTAATATATGAGTCCCACAGCTGAGTTCCTGATTGATAGTGCATATCAGAATGCCCCGTGCCAGCAGTTATCTGTTTTTATGTAATCTGTCTGTTAATATGTTTCAGGTTTTGGTACCATATTTATGATCAAGAATCATCATCGCTCCCATCAAGATCAGCTCTTACAGTAAAAGTGATCAGAGACCACACTGAAACAGATTTACTGAAGATTTCTGGTGAAACAGATGGTTGGGAGAATGCCACAGCGTTAATTGGAAATCAGCCAGGAGGATACAAGGTTAGCAAAGCATCCTGTAGACTTTAACCTATACATAGAAAGTAACAGCAAACATTTAATTAAGGTTAATATCTTTTTAGTTCCTCCCTCATATTATATTGATCTTTATCTGATCTTTAACTGTTTCCTGTTCTTCTGGAACACCTCTGCATCTGGGGGAACAATAAAGCATTTCTTTCACTAAAAATGCAAAACCATAGCACTCAGCATTATGAAGATGCTTTAATACTAATTTTATGGCTGTTTGTTCTGACGTATCGACCAAAGTAGTTGTCATTGTTAAAAAATATGCCTTTAATTCTTTTAATTTAGTAATCTAATCTATTCTTCTCATTTTGTCATGTATGGACCCAATAGACGTCTTTTGTACTTGTAAAAAATGTAAACATCCATCAGTTTTTTTCAGCCATACTGGAACCTGTTTTAACCCAGTGGATGACATCAGGGTTTCAACCGTGTTTGCATGGCAAGATGAAAGTGTCATGTTTTCAGTAATGTCCTACTGTACTTAAAAGCAGCAGTGTACAAACACAGTACAGAGAGTTTAAGGAACCATTTGTTCATTTTTGACCCTCTGCAATCATAACTAAGAGATTGTTGGGGGGGGGGGGAGTGTCTTCAAAGAAATGCAGTAATCTTCTCTTATAAGGGTGAAAAAATACTTTCTAATTGTTGATTATGAATTTAATACTGACTTTTCAGAACAAATGAAGAGTAAAGGTCTTTTTCTTTTTGCAGCTACTGTTTTCATTCAGTCTTTCATTTTTGGAAAAACTGGATGTTATGCTGGATGATATCAACTTTGAATACTGTAAAGAGGGGGAAGTCCCAGCTGGAGGTACAGACAACCTTTCATGTGACTTTGAAAAGGATACCTGTGCATGGTACCATGACTACAGAGCCAGTCTCTTGTGGGAAAAGAGTAAAGGTGGATATGATCGCCCAACTGGGAATGGTGAGTAGCCTACTGAGCATTAACACATAGGTTTAATATTTTGGATCTTCCTGGGAGATATGGATTGGAATATTGTGATTAATGAATAATATTAAAGCCATCATGAAACTATATAGCAACACAGTTTAAGTAAACTATAAAACCATCCAGAGTACTATGCATGGCCTCTGATGTGTCTTTTAGGTCATGTGATCTTCTGTAGTATTAATAACGCAGTCATTATCTTAAATATCTGCTCACGTGTAAGATTTATGTATCATCTATTACAAATTGCAGTAAATTCAAGTGAGTGTATAACTTGACTTTTCCATCTCACTCATCACTTCAAAGTTTATGAGATTGCTCTGAGTGTATCTCCTGTTGTGTTTTGTTTTTCTTCTGCAGGCTACTACATGCTCATAGAAGCTAAACGAAACCTAAACATCTCATCGGCAGCCAGACTCATTAGCTTTCCTCAGCCTGCGGATCAAGTGCTTTGTGTGAGTTTCTGGTACCACATATTTGGCAACAGCATTGGTACGTGAACCGCTGTCCATAACTGCACTTGGAGGCAAATTTAATCTAAATGCACAGAGAGATAACAATATGTATTTTAATGAATTGAGATACATTAAATGTATTGCTGTTCTCTCATCATCAGGCTCACTCAAGTTTATTGCAAAGCATTCTGGTGAGCCAGAGACAGTTATGTGGATGAGAAGTGGCACCCAAGGAAACAAATGGCATTATGCTGATCTTACCTTCAACAGCGACAAACCAATACAGGTATAACTGATGTTTTTGTAATTGCTATAGCTTGTTTGTTTGTCTGTTGGCAAAATCTTTTTCAAGAAATACTACTGGAAAAATATTTTGTGCAACAAAATCTGATGTATACCTGTTTTCCAGTTTATTATAGAAGCTGTTACGGGAGGTGAACAAGGGAGCATAGCCATTGATGACGTAGTGGTGTTCAGCGGCGAAAATGGTTCTTGTCCACCAGAGAGAGAGTGCACCTTCCAGGGCTCCCTTTGTGGTCTGCTGCCTCACCAATCTGCAAACTTCAGCTGGGACCGGATCACCGGAGAGTCCCAACCAGCCCTCTCTTCAGGCCCCAGAGTGGATCACACACTGGGGACAGATCAAGGTATGCAAATGTTTAGAATAACAATATACGGTTGATTTTCAAAACCACACATATATTAAATGTTTTGTGTTGTTGGAATAAAGCTCAGTAGATCAGTTGAAGTGACATGATTCATCCTCTGGGGAGTATGAATGAATTACATTTTATCAAGGCCAAAGTCCACTTTATTGTCAGTATTTGTTGTTTCCTTTCCAATCTTGAAGTTTAAGGCAGGAATAGAGATGCAGTGCATGTGTTGTGTTTATTGGCACATGATACGTTTTCAGTAGAAATATTTGATCTTATTTGAAAGTACCTGCAATGTTTTTTTGAGGATGACGCATTGTCACACATGATATAGTTAGTGATTTAATAAACACGGTGCCTTTCCAAGCTAAGCAACCTGTGCACAAAGATAACTATGCATGTCCTCAAAATAAAGCAGAATGTATGATAACGCCACATATTTGTAGGTTATTACCTGAGCGCCCAGTTGTGGAGCCATCCTGTGGGGTCCAGAGGTGCAATGACGAGCGCGGTGCTCAAGCCTACCCCTTCAAAGGGGGAATGCCTAATGTTCTGGTACTACATGGAGGGAAATGGCGTGGGAGAGCTAAATGTGTATCTTCAAACCCTCAGCAGCCACAAAGATCCCCTCAAGCTGTGGACCAGAGCAGGTGATCAGGGGAAGCACTGGAGGCATGGAAGAGTGACACTTCTCAGTCCTCATAGCACATATCAGGTATGTACACATAAACACAATGTTTTTTTGTTTTTTATGTCATTTTATACATTTTCTGTAGTTTGTCTAATAATATAATATAAAAATATATACTGTTTTGAGGTTTTTTCCTCCGGCACAATATTGTTACACTTCATCTAATACTATATA